ACACAATCAACAAAAAATGAATCTGATTAATGCAGTTCTTTGTTGAATATTATTTATTCTGTTTTGATTAAACCAAATGGAACCGGTTCGATTTGCGCCTAATTTTTAGTTTTGTATTGCCAGCGTCTGGTCTGAGCCCAGTGACGTCATCACTCGTGTGCTCCCTATTTTCAAATACCTAATTTTAATTATTCGATTTGTTTGGTTTGCCTTCATTATGCGTCTCCGATGTGTTTGAGAGCATTCACCGCCAGTCGTCCAAAGAGAATTTTTTTGATGAACATTAAAAATGCTAACAAGCGCCAGGTGCTAGAGGTGATACTCAGTCACGAAAAATCAGACATATATGAAATATTAAATTTTTATTTTTATAAGGGCTTAGTAATATAATACCCGGTGATTTCATTGATGAAACTAACGAAAGACCATAAAACGACGCTCAAAAGTATGCTATAGAAATTGGCTTAGGAGAAAATGGAGTCAGAAGTGTCGGGTATCATAAACTTTATGAATATATTTGTTGTTTAAATTTACTTGCATAATCAAAAAACATATTAAATATTAAAAAACATTCCACACCTTCTGTATGTAACACAAATTTTATAGTCATATCACGTTCTCATCTTTAGAGGCGACCTTCACATTGACAATCGTATTATTTTTGCCGGATTTTTCGGTTTTTGGCAGCATGCAAACAAATCTGCTTATTCATGTGTTGACTCTCTTGACTTACTGCCTATAGAATTATAATTAGTATCAGCTCTATATTTGCACTTAGGATGCTTTTAGAACATTTAACCAAACAATGTTGTCGCCCGAATGTTTGCCTTAGATAACCAAGAATACTGATAATAAGGAACAGAACGACTCGATATTCCGACGACCTTGCCCGGCAATCAAGGCGTCCCATTCGATTTGCATAAGGCCGATGCAACACATGCATTTATTGTGGACGACATATTCGCTTTCATTAGACAAATGCGTCAGTCCAACTTGGCTCATAACATGTCAATATGGTTTAAATTGGTATAGGAATTCAAATTGATATTGAAACCCATAAAAATACCCTCTAATTCCCAGTGGCCTATACTGATAGGAGCTTTTCCAAATTACCCGAAAAGTGGGTCACTTATCGGTTAAATAGGTTGGCAAACAATCATATACCACAATCGATTAGGGTTTTATGCTTCATTTTTAATGTGAATGACGAATATTGGGTATTTTTGGAAACCTTAGATGGATTTAATGGATATTGCGAGAGGAAAAAATAAACTAAAAGTAAATATAGAAAATATATATTATAATAGTGGCATTTCAAGAAAACACAGCGCAAACAATTGGCTGTTTTGTTGATATTTTTTATTCGCTTTAGAAGTCGGCTAGTGTGTGTCTTTCGTTAAACATATTTTTCTTCCTATTTTCCAAGTGAATAAATATTAAATTGCTCGAAAAGCGGTCTGGTCAGTAAATATAATATTTTCGGTTTGTTTTTCTACAACCGAGGCTGAAAATATAATAATTTATTTAAACGAATTAATGAAAATAATAAATATTCACAAAATTTTAAATCAGATTATTTGCGATCTTTATATAATTAGTTTAATGTTATTTTTCAAAATTAGCCATGCTTATGCTGGGTTTTTTTGTTTTCAACTCGGGTTTATGCGATTGCTAATTCGGATGCGAATCTAATTAGGAGTCGGATGACGCCGATTGTCGGATTTTTTATCCCAAAACGAAACCCGATAAGCTTTCACCACGGTAATCAAATCTAAGCAGCTCCTTGCAGTCAAATCACTGGCATCATAAATCATAGCTGGAGCGTCGAGAAAGGAATACAAATGACAATCTAACAGGATTCGCAATTGTACCATCGAAATGGAATCAACGGGGGAGCACTTTGGCGGGGACCCAGAGCCACGGGCAAATGGAATGTGGGACAGGCTCCTCAAATTGAGGGTCTCCTGGCGTGTAAATGGAACTCGACATCGGTGCGGACGTTGTCTTTGAGGGGTCTTCGAGGGGTGCCTGGTCTATTTATAGAGCACCTCAAGGCCGGCAAAATATACACAGACAGACGCTGGCTGCCTTAATTTATAAGCACGCAAATCGCGTGTGCCACAGTGATACAATATACGTATATGAATAAACATAGTAGAACGAAAAGTTTTGGGAACTGCATACAAAGGCCAAAAATTGTATGACTCAGCGGTTCTTGGACTTCCTGCTTTTATGCTCGGAGTTGAAAGGAAATTGCTTTCATTACTCACTTGTTGTTTTTTGTGGGCTTCTGTTTTGCCAACCGAACAATTAGTTATGGTTTCTTATGGAAGCTAGATTGATGTTTTTCAAACAAAATAATAAAACCAGGAATTTATTGTAAAGGAGAGGTTAAGATTTAATATTTGATCATCACCCAAATGTTATGTATCTATTAAATATTTCTGCCTACGTCTAACCGGAAATGTACATTGCAATAACACATTATAATACGTATTTACAAAATTTATTTTCGAATTTCAGATTAAAGCCAATTTAAAGATGATAAGTGAAATTGAAGGTTAAACAGCACATGCATAACTTAATTGATGATTAATGAACTGCAAATGTGTATGCAAAATCCCAGCAGTAACATATTTATTACAATTTACTGACTTTCGATTCATAAAATTATAAAATATTGTTTTCAAGACTCTGTGAAAAATACCTGACCCGTGTCACATGACGTATGCGTAATTTTTCTCACACTTCATTGATTTAACAAGAAAGGATTTCCCTGGATTGAATGAGTTGTCAGGTGAGTTTGATGGTTTCTTATTATTCGAAATTTTCATATTTACGCATCAGGAAACATAAGCACCCAACATCATTATTCAATGTCGTGGCAGTCTTCCGGGCAAAGAAAACACAACCTGACAGAGCTCGGCACTTTGCACTCACCGTCATTATTTAGCGCCAACTTGAAGCCAACAAATATGTTAGTGTAGCCATGTAAACAATACCAGAAGGTCGGTGGGGTCAGGAGGTAAATATATATACGATTTAAGCCCAGTTGGGACGCCGTCAGCTGCCGTCAGCTAAGCAAGCCATGCCAAAATGTAAATAATTTAAAGCGCCCAGCATAAGCGGCCCAAGTCGTTGCCGGCTCGAGTAATTATAGGAACGATATTCGATTCCACGGCTGGGGATAATAAAAGTGATTCACTTAGCCGGAATTAGGAATTATTAAATCAATAAAATTATCAACCTCATTAGCATGAAGGTTGCAAAACTTTTTCGCCATCTCCGGGGGAATTTTCGCTTTTGTTCTTTTCCATTTAGAGCAAGTTCAAGGAACTTATTGCCGTGAAAGGAATCAAACTTTGGATGTGTACTTTGAACTGATATAAATCGCTACCCATTAGTGGCATTCAGAAGTCTGTCAGCACAAAGAACCGATGTCCCGGCAACTCCTCCAACTGGGAAATGCCACAAAGGACAATGCACAGCCAGCCAACCCACCCACTCAGCGGGAATTTCTAAGCAAGACAATGATGATACGAGGACGACGACAGCGACAACTTTCTTTGCTTTAATATTTTGCCGGCGCCCGGCACCAAAAATCGATAGCTGGAACGGGGAGAGGAGGGAATGTCACTTGACAAGATATCAGAACATTTAGCACTGTCGTATAAACTAGTTTATGGGCTTGATGAGAATATGTGCTAAATTAACAAATTATTTTTAAACGGAATGTGGAAATATAATTATATTGTCAGGGAGTACTAATATTACTCAATTCCATTTCTAGATAAAGTCAAAATAATGCTGTAAAGGTCAACGTGGCGTATGAGCAACGCAGCATCGTAAGACCTCAGTCGGTTAAGCTTGACATCATAATCCCGAGTTGCTTTCACAAATTAAATTATGAAACTAATAAAAATAAATGCAACAGCTAGGGAACTTGGTAATTAACTTACCCAAAGATGCGTAGAGAGTCCAGTACGCCCAAGGGCCTGCACCTGCTAAGGGGCATGCGGTATATACACTTTTAAGTTGCCAGGACAACGGTTGTGGTCGCTCCTAAGGATAATCTAGGGGAAAGCCGTTAAGAGCCGCAACTCCTGCAGTGGCCACAGCGCTTTGGGACAATAAACGAATGCACTGGCAGCTGCGGATGTCATCGAGCCCGGCATGGCGTCCTTAAAGTCCTAGCAGTCCTCGCAGTCTCCTGATGTTGACACTAACAATTCGCGACGTAAACTAAACCCGAATCCCAATCCACTTGATGCCGCTCGCTCAGCTTCTGGTCTGCACTGTGGAAAACGAGGCAAGCGAATGAAAAGTCCGAGTAGTATTTTTACTATACCGCCATGTGCGCGGTCAAAAATCAGCTGAGCTGAGAGTCTTTTCTCAAGTGACGTCATGACTGCGGCTCATGCGCAGGCAAAAATATTCAGAGAGAGGTACTGAGAGATAGGAAAAGTATCTTGTAGCTGTATCTTGAGGAAGTTTACCGCTGGGGCGCCAAATATGCTTGGCCCAAATGCATGCTTGTTGCGCCATTCGGTCCCCATCTCTCTCGGCTATGCCAGGGCTGGAGGCGCCACAACCGCTACAACTTAAATAGTCGGGTATATGGGCATTTCATTTCAATAACATGTTTTTCACTTTATTTCCTTTTTGTGTATAGTCAACATTATATAGAGTTTTCAGTACATCAACACCAAAATACAATATTCTATGAATGCAATAAATATATGTATGTTTTTGTATACATTTTATATTCTAAAAAATAATTGTACGAGTCATGTAAGAGCCTGAGTTATCTGAGTTGATGAGTTAATGTCTCTAGTTTGGGATATTCCATAGTTTCAAATTATAATAATTGTGCTCGTTTCTAAGTTGGCACTTGCATGGACTCCTTTAATACAAAGGTCTGAGATTAATTATAAAAAGCATAACCTATAAAACAGTTGATTTGTTGTAAAGCTTGTAACCAAATTACAAATCGCACTCTTCAATAAATGTGTCAAAACTAAGGCCTAATTAGTGAGTGAAAGGAACTTTTATAACACAATGAATTACGTTCAAACGGACTTAGAACTTAAGATTCAACTAAAAACTAAAGTCACTGAGCCATTTGTGCACTTGGTCCTAGCAATCGGCACCTGCGATGCCTGTGGTTTTGTTCTCTCCATGGATAATGGCATCCATTTCGATCTGAGTGAGATTCTCGGTCAGTAACTTTTCAATGTTTATGAACTTGGCATTCGGCTCCTGAATAGAGGCGGCATCCAGGTCCTGATCAACTGGAGTCTGAAGCACCGAGCTGCTTCGTTTAGCGCGCTCTGTAAAGAGATATAGAATTATTTAAAAGTTTAAATATATATTTTATTGTATATCCTTACCAAAACGAGCTCGATGAGCCTCTTGCTCGATGATAATCTCATTGGTCACATAGACTTCGCGACGGATTTGGTCACGGAGCTCCACACTCATGTCTGGAATGCACCAACGCACCAGAATCATCACCAAAGCCACAAAGTTCTGCAGAGAAAAGAAAAAGCCATTGTTGAGGTTATTTGATTAGTTAATCAATGTAAAATATTTCATCATCACTTGTCACTGAGTTGAAATATCTTTTTTAAATTGGGGTCACCAGAAGCCTTTCCAAGTGTAAGCGCAGTAAATGCAATTGGCTAAGAACAGCTAAGACAAGTGTTAGCCTCAACCCTAATATTTTGGGAATTGAGAACGAATTGACCCGGCTGGCCCCTTATTAAAAAAAGAAACCCCATAGAATCGAACATAGAAACCGGCACAGCACCATTTAGTAAAGCAAGCATGCAAACCATGCAACATACTTGGCTCGATGGACTTTGACTTTTTGCAGCATAAGAGAAATGGTAGAAGGGAAACACAAAATGGCAACTAAACGGATAATTAGCCCTAGTTCTAGTTAGAGTCACCAATTTCAGTTAGTAGCTGAATTCAAGTCGAGGCGAACGGTCGTGTTTAGAATCGAATTCTGGAAAGTTACAAAAAGGATATTCCTCAACTAAAGTGAAACATAGCCCTCAAGCCAAGGATATCAAGGATATAAAAATCACAATGAAATACTTTGAATTCTTAAGCCTATCCTCAGTGGGACTCAGTATAGCCTGTGGAGACATACTGATAGCTTTGAGCGTTCTAGCGCCCTCCAGCTATTATCTCTACTTTGACTTTATGGACATTGAAAAATGGGAATCAAGCAGCGAGGTGGAAGCCCTAAGTCCCATTAGATCCTTCTTTACAACATTAGGTATAATAGAAACTAAGTTTTAATAAAATAAATTATAATTATAAGATTTGCAGTGGATTATTTGTGGGTACGAGAATTCTCACAGGTCTTCTATATGACAGCAACGCTTATCATTTGGGTCAAGGCCTTGGTTAACTTGATGGTGGCCATTCTTCTAGTCGATGGCATCAAGCAGGTAAGAATAATTGTAGTTTACTATTTTTATACCCTTAACTTAAGGGCCTAATACTTAAGCAGTATTAAAGTCGGAACGGGATTTTTTTTTTTTATAATAATTATTAATTGTTATTTTATTGGCAAAATAATACGACATACCAACTTTCCTAAGGATCCCATCACAAAAAATGGACACAAATTTTAAAAAATATTTTGTCTCAGGATTTTGATGCAGAATTGTGGGAAATCAATCTAGAAATCGTTTAAGGTATTCCGCTTGAGAATCGGATGAGAATTGGGGAAGATATAGCCATCACTATGGACCCTATAGGGGAAAAACCCATTTCCAAGGGATCCCATCACGGAAAATGGACAAAAAATCTCAAAAATATTTTGTCTCAGGATTTTGATGCAGAATGGTGGAAAATCGGTCTAGAAATCGTTTAAGGTACTCCGCTTGAGAATCGGATGAGAATTGGGGAAGATATAGCCATCACTATGGACCCTATAGGGGAAAAACACATTTCCAAGGGATCCCATCACGAAAAATGGACAAAAAATCTCAAAAATATTTTTTCTCAGGATTTTTATGCAGAATGGTGGGAAATCGATCTAGAAATCGTTTAAGGTACTCCGCTTGAGAATCGGATGAGAATTGGGGAAGATATAGCCATCACTATGGACCCTATAGGGGAAAACCCCATTTCCAAGGGATCCCATCACGGAAAATGGACAAAAAATCTCAAAAATATTTTGTCTCAGGATTTTGATGCAGAATGGTGGGAAATCGATCTAGAAATCGTTTAAGGTACTCCGCTTGAGAATCGGATGAGAATTGGGGAAGATATAGCCATCACTGTGGACCCTATAGCGGAAAAACCCATTTTCAAGGGATCCCATCACGAAAAATGGACAAAAAATCTCAAAAATATTTTGTCTCAGGATTTTGATGCAGAATGGTGGGAAATCGATCTAGAAATCGTTTAAGGTATTCCGCTTGAGAATCGGATGAGAATTGGGGAAGGTATAGCCATCACTGTGGACCCTTTAGGGGAAAACCATATTTTCAAGGGATCCAATCACGAAAAATGGACAAAAAATCTCAAAAATATTTTGTCTTAGTATTTTGATGCAGAATGGTGGCAAATCGATCTAGAAATCGTTTAAGGTACTCCGCTTGAGAATCGGATGAGAATTGGGAAAGATATAGCCATCACTGTGGACCCTATAGGGGAAAAACCCATTTTCAAGGGATCCCATCACGGAAAATGGGCAAAAAATCTCAAAAATATTTTGTCTCAGGATTTTGATGCAGAATGGTGGCAAATCGGTCTAGAAATCGTTTAAGGTATTCCGCTTGAGAATCGGATGAGAATTGGGGAAGATATAGCCATCACTGTGGACCCTATAGCGGAAAAACCCATTTTTAAGGGATCCCATCACGGAAAATGGACAAAAAATCTCAAAAATATTTTGTCTTAGGATTTTGATGCAGAATGGTGGCAAATCGATCTAGAAATCGTTTAAGGTACTCCGCTTGAGAATCGGATGAGAATTGGGAAAGATATAGCCATCACTGTGGACCCTATAGGGTAAAAACCCATTTTCAAGGGATCCCATCACGGAAAATGGACAAAAAATCTCAAAAATATTTTGTCTTAGGATTTTGATGCAGAATGGTGGAAAATCGGTCTAGAAATCGTTTAAGGTACTCCGCTTGAGAATCGGATGAGAATTGGGGAAGATATAGCCATCACTGTGGACCCTATAGGGTAAAAACCCATTTTCAAGGGATCCCATCACGGAAAATGGTCAAAAAATCTCAAAAATATTTTGTCTCAGGATTTTGATGCAGAATGGTGGCAAATCGGTCTAGAAATCGTTTAAAGTACTCCGCTTGAGAATCGGATGAGAATTGGGAAATATATAGCCATCACTGTGGACCCTATAGGGGAAAAACCCATTTTCAAGGGATCCCATCACGGAAAATGGACAAAAAATCTCAAAAATATTTTGTCTCAGGATTTTGATGCAGAATGGTGGCAAATCGGTCTAGAAATCGTTTAAGGTACTCCGCTTGAGAATCGGATAAGATTTGGGGAAGATATAGCCATCACTGTGGACCCTATAGCGGAAAAACCCATTTTCAAGGGATCCCATCACGGAAAATGGACAAAAAATCTCAAAAATATTTTGTCTCAGGATTTTGATGCAGAATGGTGGCAAATCGGTCTAGAAATCGTTTAAGGTATTCCGCTTGAGAATCGGATGAGAATTGGGAAAGATATAGCCATCACTGTGGACCCTATAGGGGAAAAACCCATATTCAAGGGATCCCATCACGGAAAATGGACAAAAAATCTCAAAAATATTTTGTCTTAGGATTTTGATGCAGAATGGTGGCAAATCGATCTAGAAATCGTTTAAGGTACTCCGCTTGAGAATCGGATGAGAATTGGGAAAGATATAGCCATCACTGTGGACCCTATAGGGTAAAAACCCATTTTCAAGGGATCCCATCACGGAAAATGGTCAAAAAATCTCAAAAATATTTTGTCTCAGGATTTTGATAAAGAATGGTGGCAAATCGATCTAGAAATCGTTTAAGGTACTCCGCTTGAGAATCGGATGAGAATTGGGGAAGATATAGCCATCACTGTGGACCCTGTAGCGGAAAAACCCATTTTCAAGGGATCCCATCACGGAAAATGGACAAAAAATCTCAAAAATATTTTGTCTCAGGATTTTGATGCAGAATGGTGGCAAATCGGTCTAGAAATCGTTTAAGGTAGTCCGCTTGAGAATCGGATGAGAATTGGGGAAGATATAGCCATCACTGTGGACCCTATAGCGGAAAAACCCATTTTCAAGGGATCCCATCACGGAAAATGGACAAAAAATCTCAAAAATATTTTGTCTTAGGATTTTGATGCAGAATGGTGGAAAATCGGTCTAGAAATCGTTTAAGGTACTCCGCTTGAGAATCGGATAAGAATTGGGGAAGATATAGCCATCACTGTGGACCCTATAGGGGAAAACCCTTTTAAGACATCTCATTCCATATTCTAATACATTTTTTTTTATGATAAAACAAGGATTTCCCTACTATATGCGATATTTGATTTCTTAACCGCAAGGGTATGTCACTTCGGTTGTGCCCGAAGTTAGCCTTCCTTTCTTGTTTTAAATTTTATATGTACATATTTCCAAAGAAACGACTGGTTTGCATTGCCCCCTGGTTGATCAACTCTTGCCTTTCAATTGTCATTGAAACGGGCATCTTTGTGAGTTTGGAACTCAGGATTGATGAAGTTGATGCCGCTGTGGATCGCCGGATAGCGCGTAGCCTCATATTTGGCGTTTTTATAGGTGAGTTATCCTTGTATATAGCCCTCTTTATCCTTTAATAAATCCCTAATTATTTTACAGTACTTAACACGTTATTTTCGTATGGAATCTATGCCCTTTATCGGAAGCTCAAGTCTGCACCCAGTGAGAATGTTGAAATTATTCCACAAAATCCCCACACATTCAATGCCTAAAACTATTTTCAACAGTAGGATCATATACCATAAAGAATTGACCACGCTTTTGTTTCCATAGAGGCAAATAAAATAAGATGTGGGAGTACTTGCGAATATTTGGAAGTATATCCAGCCGAACTCACCTCAAAAATCACCACGAAACCCAGTCGGCAGGCCAAAATGATGTAGAACATGCTGCTCAAAGTGTATTTTTCCGGTGATGAAGGCGGTAATCGAAAGTCCGTGTATCTGAATAAGCATAAGACAATCATGAATAAAAAATGCCAACCAAATAGTGTAAATTATGTAACTTACTTGCATGTAGTGATGTTGGATAGGTCGCCAGCTAAGCTGTTCAAGGTGGGTGAATCGGATACTCTAAACTCGGATAAGGTAAAGTCCAGGTAACCATTCAAGGTTCCGTCTTTTGAGACATAGTTTCGGTACACCAATCGTGGAATCATGTCCGATGTAAAGGCAATAATAAATCCCTAAAAAATAGTTTAAAAGGTAATAAAAAAAAATATTTCCAATACCCCAAACACGCTTACGTTTGTAATCACACTTAGCTTGCCAATGCAATCCAAGATCCGATACCAAACTCCAATATCCCGGACACGCTGAGACACTGGTCGCTTGTGGTGGGTCAACAGTTTTTTGGCATCCAGACGCATTTCCAAAATATTATTCAGAAGTGCAAAAAATGGAGCCAGTGGAAAGGCAGCCACAAAAATGGTCACAAAACCATACTGCAGCACCATCTCCAAATACTCCGGGAAAAGACTCCGTGGACCCCAGTCGAGCAGCTTGAAGTCCCGCATCCATCGTTCGTCCTTTGTCTTATCCGGATTCGGGGTGTTGTTGAACAAACGTGATAGACCCACTTGAATGGCCAAAACCTTGCGCCAGAACATGGGTAGATACACTTCCAAAATGGTGTTGAAAGCTTGCTTTCCAACCATTATAATGGCCAGCTGAATGCACAGCTCTGTCAAACAGCCACCAGAGGAGCACTAAAGTATAGAATAAGATTGACTCATAATGTACAGAGCTGGAAGTATGGACTTACCTCCTCCTGGCGATAGTCAAAGAGTTTGTTATACTGCCCAGGATGTCCCACAAATTTTCCCTTAAAAAACGCTATGTAAAATATGGAGGCATAGTAGTTGACAAACTGCAAAAGATATATCTTGAGGGTCAGAGAGTCGTCGAACTGGGTTTGAGTGCGCCACATTTCCAGTTCAGTGAGGTACTCAGCCAGATGATTGTACATCTACAAATATAGTAATATATTTAAGTTTAACTCGCTTAGTAGGTTACATATTAGTAACTCACATAATTCAGGATATAGAGTAGGCACAGATTCACAAAGGCAGCTGATGCCGAGGCCAAAACTATAGCACTTGAGGTGGTCATGGGGCTAGCGCCTAGTTTAAGAGCCGCCAACATGGACATACGATACACCACCACAGCCAATAGAGCCACAAAGGCCAAAGCAATCAATAGTAGCACCACAGAAAAACTAAAAACCGTGGCCGGCAGCTTCATTCGCCAAAAGGGAACAGTGGGCTCCTTTGTATTCGTCACATAATCCACTCTGGTTGGAGGGATATGTTCCAGGCGAGCCAAGTACTGGGGCCGCGGATGCTCTTCGTGGACATCGAAGCCCGTCAGATCCCAGCGATGAGTGATCTCGGCCGAGTATCGTTTCCAAAGCTCTAGAAACAAGGTGGCCCAAAAGGACATGAATACAGCAAAGAACACGGTGCTGGGGTTGTCTATGAGGTAAGTCACTTTGGCATAGTTGCAGGTCTCTTTCAGGTCCCAGAAGTTGCACCAATCACAGAGAGGGCACATAGTTATGTTCTTGTTAGAACGCACGCAGATGTCTTTTCTAAATACAATAAATATTTAATTATTGTTTGTATCTAAGGTAGAAAATATTTTTTAGCTTACACAGGCACATAGTTTTTAAGGGAGAACCAAGAGTAAAGGAAGCAAATCACACCCACTATCGAAGCCAGCAATAACATGTAGGTATAATAGCCCAGCCAGGCAAAGTACAAGCCAATTTTAACACCAAAGTATTCCTTGATGTCATCCAGAGGCTGATAGCGATACCATTTTTTGACCGAAGCCCAGTGTTTGTAGAGCAACGCTCTCATAGTTCCAGTCTCCATTATTTCACCCTAATAAAAAAAAATTGTGTGCTTTATTCGATATCCTATAAGTCATCGGTTAATCTCTACTTACATCATGCAGGGGATATGCCGCACAGTAGACACCTTCAGCAATGAGACGCTCAATGCCAAAAGCCATGTCGTGCTGGTTCTTGGCAGGAAATCTCTGGCGGTCCAGGATGAATTCAACGATGCGAGAACGGACGGCAGTGGTAAAAAAACAATCCTGTCGAATATCGAACCTATGCATAAAGAAAGCCGTATTATTAAAGATTTCATTTGAAGAAAATTTCAATTAAAACTTACAGATATTCCTTATCTCGACTGTAAATGGCGGTGAAACGATGAGCTCGTCGGGGGAAGATGTCCTCATCTACATAGATATTTCGCAGGAAGAACTTGCATATGGTTTTGAGACTAGAAAATATGCTTTTCGTTGAACGATTGACCACCGACATGCCGGGAATCTAGAAGGGTCGAAAATTACTATTAGAACAGGTCCTCAAAGTATTGTACAAAAAAATAACTTTAAAGCTGGACTTTTTACAACATATTTTCTATGCTATTTTTGTGGTTAAGCTATTAGTTATTAGGCCTGGCTTTTAACTGATTTAAAATTACTCGCAGTTGAAGCTAAACGAAAAACAGCAATTCATTAATATTCAGTTAAAGGGTTAATAAAAATAATTAACTGATTCAACGTTCGGGCCAACCTTCTTGGACAGGTATTGAGCCGCATTATGGAGTCGATTCGATCTTTCGGTTATGCGCAAATTGCACAACGACTAAAATCAAAAAAAAATAAAATTAAGATAGTGATTGGAAATCATTATAAAAGAAAGTATAAGGCCGGAATCTGTACTTTTAATTTAGCCAAAAAGTATGCTTCAATTTTTGTTTAGCTTGTGATGGAGGTACAAATGGAAACCGGAAACACAAAAATTACCTCCTTCATGGGCATTCGCAGCTTAAGTATTTCCGCATAACGTCGCAGGACCTCCAAAGGAGCATGTATCTAAAAAGGTAAATTAATTAGCTAAAATATAAATACTCTAAGGTATAAACTTACCTTAACAAAACAAATCTGGTCCTTTTGTACAGATTCCACCTCCAGACCCTGGCTTATGAGATTCGCCTCGAATACCCTTCGCTTCTCCGTGTTCTCCGCCTCCGTTGGCTCGTGGGCATTGATCCTGAAGGCCAGGACAAAGTCGATGGACCGGCTACAGTCGTCAAAGAACAGCGAGGTATTGATTTCATCTCGCTGATAAAACTCCCGGGGGCAACTACACTCGCGATCATCGTAGGGGCCGTTTCCATTGCCTTTCGCAAACCCGGACTCAGTCATTGGCAGTAGAGGGGTTGAGAGATTCGTTAGCTTAGTCCTGTCCCCAGAGGACTTCTTTCCATTTGCCGGGAGCTCAACAGAGTTTGGCAGTTGGAGCGTCGATGCGTTGCTGAAAAGTTAATTTAAAATAAATTAAAGTTCATTAAAGGAAAATAAGTCGTTTAATTTCCCGGGTGGCCGACTCCTGGCGTGCGTAGGGCTCCTAATGGGACACTGAACACATAAAAATGCTGGAAACTACATACATATTTAGGTCAACCCTAGGGAGAGTCGAAGCTACTGAATTTTTACGAGCTGCCCCATCAAATGAACAGTTTGCTCCATATAGGCGAAGCACTCTGGTATGAGTTAATATTCGCTATGTTTACATTTATCAGCAAAAATGTATATACTCATCCAGTCTGTTGCTTGTGGAACAAAAATCTTTAATCATGAATATTTCCAAAGGCGTTGCTTACAAAGAATATGTATATCCAATTACACTCTAAGTTTTGTTATTTGTTTGCTAATAATAATTACCAATTCATGTGATTTTAGCGCTGACTTGCTATAAGAGAAGTCTTTAGTGAATCACGGCTGCTGTATCAAGTTCCGAATAATTTAAGATTCAAAGTGCAGTTCATGAGTAATTTTTCCGACTCACAGCAAGACAAAACTCTACTGGCATTTGTTGGTTTATTGCATCTCATAAATGATTTATTTATATTTATTTTATATAATAGGTCGCTGCCTGCATTGGTGATAGCAAATAGGGCATCTGGTTATCAAGGAATGTAATGAAAGGAATCGATTATTCTGCTTCATGTATTTTATATCAACAATTTTATAATTCAACACTTAAAAATTACAATTTTATGTTATAAAACATAAATAAGAGAATGTACGAATATTCTCTGACAACGCTGGGTGGGAATTTTTGTTTAACATTTCTTGCTCACGCCGCAAGTTTTGTTACTAATTTGTTGTGGTATATAGTTCTCTTTTGTATTTCAGCTGAGGCCGAGACTAAGACCCAAAACTTTAGAGTTCATCAAGCATTATTACACGCTTCCGGCCTTCACACACACCATAATTAACTTCTTTGATGAAAAAAATGATTTAAAATTTACATACAAGAGGTTTGATGATTTGTTTAGGCCCACACGGTAGCATTTTTGCCATGAGATTTAATCAAGGCCAATAAATGAGAGAGGCATTAATTTATTAAGCATATGTGGGACTGTTTTTCGCAAAATTTTCGCAAAAATTGCTTATATAATTTAGATGCTGAGGCTAAAATGGCCCAGATCGTATGGCTTGTATATGCACTGAAGGCTTATTCATCCGGCAAGATCTTAATGTTAAGGGTAAACACACAAAACGCCGCGTCACACACAGATAATGAAAACATTGTCTTTTGGTTTTCTCCCGATGATGATTAATAATTTCGTACACTCTCGGATATACAGCATTGCAATAAAAGAAACCCGTTTCCCCTAAAGGTCGGATCGGAATGTTTCAGAGCCTACCAGCTGATTTGATTACAATTACGATGGAAACTCTTGAATGAAATTTTTCACCTCTTGGTCGAGCGAATAATTTTTAAACACTGAGACCGAGACTGAAATCAAATAAAAGTCCACGAGCGTTGGCAATGGCAACGAACAAATACAAGCGTATGTTTGAGAGCGAAAGCCGAGAGAGCCCACAACGAGCCGAAAGAGGCACAAACAAAGCGGAGCGTTTTGCCGGTGGGGGCCGTTTTTCCACCCCCCACCTAGGTAGGGGGCTAGTGTTTCTTTCATAGACCTGAAGAGCAGGAGAGGAAGCTTTGAGCACATGTTGTGTTAAGCCCAGATGAGAGCAGCGACTGATCATCCGGATGTCAAGTGCAAAGTACCTATCATAAGTGATAGTTCAATGTAAATATTAAATGTATATTCGAGATAATTTCTAGATTCCTATACCCCTATTAGACAAACCCGTCTTATAGCTTACAATTACAAGCAGCTCAAAATCCATATACCTGAGACCCCCTTCTACACCATCATCATGTGTGTACTTCCCCTGAAACAATTATGAATCACCTAAGTGATAAAAATCATTCCTCAGCAAACAAGGTCATCAGAAAAGTGAACAGTAAAATCCAATATTTGGGTAATAACACTGAAAGCAATTGCACTAACAAATATTATTATTTCAGCAAGTGTTAATGTTAAACATGAATAGATAAGATATTACAGGGTGATTTATAGGATCTCCCAAGAACAATCTCTTCTAGTCAAGAAATTTTTTTAAATTTTGCAAATAGAACCAGCAACAAATACATTATCAAAGAGAAATTTAAATATAGATATTAAAAAAAGATCACCCTGTATTCCTTACAAAAACTCAATTACAGATAAATGACAACAAAAACCGAAACTGCAATTAGTTTTGATGAATGCTTCCTTTTACGCACAAGGTCTTTTTGGATTTCCCGCTCTTTGGCAGGGTAAGCCCCCTTATTGGATAATTACCTTTCGGCAAATCTAGCTCTTTTTTCGGTCAGACTTAGAGATGAGCCCAGCTCATCCTGTCCAGAATTTCGCTCGAGCTCCATGAACTTTTTCGTTTCGCCCCAAATACTGTCCGACTTGGCGGCCAATCGTTCGTGGAGTCCGTGGCGTTTCATTAGCTCCATGTCGAAGGGGGCCAGTGGGGTGGTGAATGGGGGTTCCAGGGGGACGGTGGGCGCGGGACTCCTTTCCAGCAGCTGGAAGCTCTCCTCGCCGTTAGTGGGTGGAGGCTCTTCCATGGCAGCCACCTTATCGTTGCCTAAATTTAGCATATTGTTGATGAGCGGGTATTAAAATTAGTCTCGCGATCCTCTTCTTTTTGTTTCTTTTCCTTCCACACTTCTTCACTTTCACACAACATCTGGGTACACATTTGAGTGTGTGTGTATGTTGCCAAAATCTGCTGCGAGGTCAACTTTCATCTGGGCCGCTCCGACATTTTCACTAACTACAGCTAGTATCACATTAATTCATTGCACTTTGCACTATTTATATATGCACTATATAATATAATTATCAGTTATCCGTTGATTCAACGGAGCGCGGAGAAACACGACCGTCAATAGACCGTTTTTTGCGTGTGGGCTATTTAGTTCTACAATCAGCTGGATTTCTCGTCCAACATTTGAACCAGTTCGCAGTTTTACAACCTCATACGTTTGGGGAGAGGAAGACCTATTATTTCGCAAATTTTCGCATTAAATTGATGTAATATATATTGATGTAATACATTAATTAATATATTCTTTTGTCAGCATTATTTTTCTTAAAAAATATTTACAATTTAAATTATTTTTTTTATCATTCTTTTGAAACGAGAAAATAGTGTTGAGCAACGTCAAATGACTGCGTTTCCTGTGAATGTTGCGCGGGCTTTTTAAAAACAAGTTTGAACATTTTGACTCAAAATATAGAAAAAATAGAGATAAAAAGTTTATCCAAAAAGAAATAGGAACACTGTTTTAGTAACATTACTCAGTAATGTCAGCGCGTCAGTAACATTACCGAACTTCAAGCTGCATATAAGCTGTAAATAATAAAATATTAATCAAAACTTGTACATATCCAAATTTTATAGAAATTTTAAGTTAAATAATTAATCAGAGTTGTATTTTTAGTCATCGGCTACCAGTGCAGCCAATCATTGCACTTTGCCGGGCTTTTTAAACATTTATTCAAATCAATCAAATCGGACATAAATATCAAAAATCAACTTCATTGTAGTAAATGCATTTCATGCACCGTTATTCATCAGTTTATTGACACACTTTGCATTTGAATGATAACCTGTTTTGAACAATAAATACATAAATAAAATATTTAGTAAATGTACGCGTGTATCTTAATTGAATTTATTTAAAATTTACAGCCTCTTCTCATGCAAATGAACAAAGTGACCGGATTACCAAAGTGCAGATTATTCCCCCAAATGGGAAGGCCAGCGAAATTGCCCGGCTTGGATCGCACAGATCCATCAATTAATGTTAGTTAGCTGATTCGTTTGGTTTCTGTGTCAACCGGCTGCTGACCTTGATATATTTTCACGATGGCCGATCAATGTTCAAACACGAATGGCTTGCGCAATTTCTAATGTCTCTCTTGTTTTTATATGCGTACTAAAGCCAATCATCTTGCTTATTTCTTCTCCATCGTCTTCATCTCCGACTCCTCTTCGGCTTTGTATTATTTTTGGGATTTTTTTGGATGAACTGGCTGGGAGATGGCTGATCGATTTGCGTCGAACTTGTTCGGAAGGCTGTTGACAAATGTGATCGCAAATGAGCATTGTCTTTAATGGGAAGTCCAGCCTACTGATTTGGAAGTTTTTTCTAATATTTATAATTATCTTCTTTTTAAAAACAAAAACAGGAATTGTAAAATTTTTGGCAAGTGATCAACGAGTTTCAGTCTCGCAGGTTGGGTGTTAGATGTTAGGTATTTGTTGGGGTTGGGTGTTAGATGTTAGGTATTTGTAGAATGACTCGTATATCTGATTATTATTCTTGGCTGTTGTTGGAATTTCACACTTTCGATTGCAATGCCTCGGACTTTGAAATTCCACCAAAACTTAAAGCCGGGAATGAGTTGCAGGACCGCGGAATGCCACTTGGGTTAACCGTTATTAAATAATCATTTGATGCAAATGAAATGCAAACACCACCAAAAAGATTCAAGTGGAATTAGACATTTTTTTATTTAAGTGCTTTGATTAAGACACCATGCAATTCTATTGTACTTGTTTATTGAAAAATACATTTTTTAGACTTACTGATTTCCTGTATATTGTTTTTTCTTGCAAATTCTAATGACTGCAATTTTGCTCAGTGCTTAATTGTTGGATTGCAGTGTGGCGGCTGCCTTTGCGGCTTTGAGGGCTTTTGAGACTTCGGCAACGCCAAATCAACGCATCAATCATCTATAGTTGCGCAATTCCTGGGAGGCGGTGCAGTGCGGCGGGAAAAGATCGAGAAGGCCAAGTGGCTTAGCCATACATACTACTGCACTAACTGCAACTATACCAAGATGGTTGCCATTATTGCTTTATTGCTCCATCTCAAATGTTTATTGAGCAAAGTCCATCCGGGCTAGAATTTTTCCCTTTCGGCGCGTTTCGATCGTTTTGGTAATTTACGAGATGCGTAACCTTGAACTCGGGTTTTTTATTTAACATCTCTATGTTCGGATAAGGCCAATAGTACTAACGAGAGTCCACAAAAACACTCCCAAGCTTGGCCCAATAAACAATGGCTTTGGTTCAGTTCGGCGATCGACACCCACCCGAACTTGGCCAAAATTGGACGGCCGCTGGCCATCTGCGTGGCTATCATGCTTGCGATCATCATCTTTGCAGATCGTCACCTGTTGCTCGTGTGATTGAGACTGGGATTGAGATTCAAATTAAAGTCAATGTTTCTGGGCCGAAGGTTGTGCCATTAAGTATACGTAGCGTGTGCCGCAAAAACACCCATCTATATTACTCTGAGAAGTGGCTCGATAAAAAGTCATTGTACTCCGGGCCGGGGGATGTGGACCGGAAGATGCGGCCGAGGCTAAAAACCGGACGGGTCCGGCAATCGGGTGCACGTTTATTTTGGTCTGATTGATGGCCAGCACAGCACAAAAAAAAACGCAACTTGTGCCACCATGCGTTTTAAAAGTTCCTTCAACTTTTCCGGCGTTGAAAGAAAATCTTTATATTGTTGAATAATTGAATTTTATTTCTATACTTACTGAAAAAAAAACCCACGTAATTATACAATAAATTATAAAATATTTGCTGGAACAAATCAAATTCTTCATAGCAAATCTTTTCAAACAGAATTCGCTGATATTTGTGTTTTTACTTTTATTCTTGACGTCATTTTTCCAGTTCCCAAAAAGGTAAGGCTTAAGATGTGTTCTCTTGGGTGTTTATTTTGTTTTGGACAAGTGGAAAAGTTTCCTAATCATTGAAACTTTCCGTTGTTGGGTCGGGCATCCCCTGTCTATCTTTATAAGGAAGTTCCAAACGCCCTAAACGATGCTGAGTTCAATGTGAACTTTTTCCTCTAGTCATGCGGCCACTGGAGAAGCCCTTGAGAATATCGTATTTAAATTTTCCCCCCAATATGGATGACGCGTGTTTTGGATCTATTCGTTGGGATCAGAAAGGGCCACTGTACTCATGACTATTCATCGTCTCCCCCGCCAACTGTTTGCCCATGCAAATAGCCAGAGTCAGAGTCAAAGCCAGAGCCGATTACATGGCCAGATACGTGTTTTCGGTAAGAATTCCGCAAAAATATATATCTTCTCCGGCTCGGCGACCGTGCAGCGAACTTTGAGACGAAATATGCAAATGTTTGCTTTGGTTTCGTTATTTCTGTCCAAAGATTTACGAAACGGCCATATACTGGTGAGATTTTTAGCAGGCAAATTAGAAATGAGGTAGTAGCAGATGCAAGTCACTGCACTGCCTGGATTTCCACTAATTGGGGGTAACCACATCGTCAACTGACCTGCTGTCAAAGTTCGGACTATCGACGCAGCAGACGTAATCCCACTATTCTAATTGCTTGGGTTGCACCACATCCTCAAAAATATCAAGTATACGCCAGGTCGGTTACGATGCCTGCTCCGGTGGCCCAGTAGCGATGTTTGTTTCGCAAGTTCACGGCACATTTTGGTCGTTTATGACAAGTCGAGGAAAGCCAAGAAACGAGTTTTTGAGAAAGACATTCAAACAAAAGCCACGCTTAGAAATCGTCCCCCCCAAAGACTCTTGGATCTGCTTTTCTATACAAGAAACCAATCGCGGAGCTGGAATTTTTTTGCACACTAGCTCAGATTTGTTCAGAGGTTAATTAACGGATATTTTGCCAGAACTTTGAACCTGGCAATCAATAAAGTCCGCACTGATATTTGGATTGAAGCCGCACTTGGGCGTGGGTGCAAAGGCAGGTGCGAACAGTTATTACTTATGGCTCTATGGCTATAATTTCCAATCCAAAGGGCTAGCCCTCTGCGGCGCAGCAGCCGCAGCGACGCCGACAGCTCAGTGAGCGCCGGCAGCGCGGTCAGCATCTAGCATCCTTGCGCAAACTCTGGTTGGAGCGAGAGGGCGCGCGAGAGGGAGCCAGAGATAGACATGAGCGGTCAGACAACCTGTTGCTGTTTAAGCCGCTGCTGCTGTCGCAGTCGCTGTTGCTGCGCTCAGAATTTTGCCGAAAGCTTTTGACTTCGGCTTGTGGCCGCGGCGCACGCTCACCGAAAATGAGCGTCTGCGTCGGCGTTGCCGCTACCGTCGCTGCTGACGCCGGCGCCGTTAACTCCGCTCCTACGACTACCGAGTCGTATAAAAGTAAAGCGACAGCGTGAAATCAAACTTATTTCAGTGTTTTTGATTTGAATGTGAAAAGCGTTCGCTCGCCCAGTCGCTGTCCAGTTGCTGTCCAGTTAAGTCCATCAGCGCAGCAGCAGCACCCGCAGCAGCATCGCTCCTCCCGCCAGAGTCTCTGTTTCCCACCTGTGATCTCCCACTGAGGAACCCCCCAAAAAAAATGATATAAAGTGCGTGTTTAACACCAATAACTGAAACACTGAAAGAAAAAGAAATTAAAACCAGGATAATCTGTGCACTAAAGTGATAATTCGTTTGCCAAAATCGAGATTGTCTCTGAAAGCCAAGTGAAAAATTCTCAGTCTAAAACGCGATTTCTAGTGCCCTAAAACAGGAAATTTAAGAAAATGGTAAGTTTTGAGAAAAGAAAGACAATTTAAAGACAAACGTCATCAAGTGTCAAAGTTTCACGAGGTTAATGCATGGCTGGTTTTTCTCCAAAAACCTCCAAAAGGTTAAAGATCGCCATGGGGATCCCCCCTTAAAGCGTAAAAAATATTGTGCAAACTTTAATCCTCCCATGTGCAACATTCAAATTGGTTATAAACCTATAATTTGAACCAAGATGCTGCGCATGCAAGCCCGAATAAAAATACACAAATGCGATTACGGCTGGGCTTTCCATCAATCTTACAAATGACCCTTTCCACACGACTCGTCTACGAGGGGGTTGGGGACTGTTATTAAATGCTGGAAAAAAAGTATATATTTTTGTATATGAAAAATCGAGGAACTAATCCAAAAACCCCCTGCGATGCAAACGACTCTTACAACATGCGCGATAATTTTGCTGTAAATATTATGTCTACAGTTAATTGCGTAAATTGAATAACCTCAGGAGGCCCAGAGGCCCAGAGACACAGGCCCAGAGGCAAGAAGGCTGAGAGGCAGGCAGGTACTAATAAGGCAATTATTCATGTGATTATTCATCGAGAAACCTTCCCGTTTAGCTCTGACATTCCAGGCTGGTTCTTTTCGCTTTCTTTGGAAGTGGAAGTGGAAAAACACCAAAGTTGCTGCACCGACTGGTTTTCGCTTTCAAGTACACCCATACACCCATTCGCCAGCAAGGTTTTCCAATGTCTTGCTCTCAAATAGCAATTTTGCCGACGCCGCGCAGACCTTTCGACGCTCTTTCCCCGCTTTCCTCGGTTTTGGCCCAAAAACGTGTACGTTTTCTGTTTTGCTAGAGCCATTCGCACTTGAGTTGCACACCGAAATTGCATGTGTTGCACTTATTTCGACACTGCTGCTTTGTTACGTCTGTCGTGGCAGCAGCAGCAACAGTAACTGCAGCAACAGCAACACCAACGACATCGCTCTGTGGCGGTCAAGTGAAGTGAAGGCTAGGTGGCTATAAGGCTATAGCTTTCGGTTAGCTGGCCAAGAGAGCTGGCCCAACAACATTTCACACGGAAATGCAGTGCAGTACTGACCTTGAATTTTAACCGGGATAACTGGATAACTGAGGCCTGGCCAAGTGAAATGATGGCCCTCACGGCCAGGCCAATCGTTTTTGTTCATCTTACAGAGAGAGAAATAAGGTTTCCTGAATTTTACGTTTATAAATCAAAAAATAATTTGAATTTTCACTTTTAATGAAATGTATAAACTAATTTAAAAAAATGTTTTCAATCAAAACAGGTTGAAAAACCCTTTTCGTGTAAAATTTCCGCTCATCATTGCAGATGCTGCATCCGATAGGTGTAGAAATCCAGTGATTTTCATATTCATTCAGCCAGTTTGTGGTGCGATGGGTTGGAATGTCTCTGCAAATTCGAAATTCGAAATAAAAAAAAATGCCAGAGGGTTTACCAATCGCAGATGCCGCTGGCTAATGATCAGACTTGGACGTTCGGGCTCCGAGCATTGCACCATTTTACACAAAAAACTCCAAAAAAAAAAACAGCCAGCCCAGAAATCGAAACTTATTCAAATCTTCGAGTTGTTTTCTTCTCCTTTTGGCCGCTTACACAATAATTATTACACCTCGATTTTATTTTTGACTTCGACTTTTGGCGAAAGTATTTATTTTTTTCCCCTTTAACTTTTTGGCTGTGTTGTGTTTGGCTCTTTTGACACTGAAAAGTGCAAAGACGCTGGCGGCAAAATTAACTATTTACTAGGCCACTTGGTCAGAGCCGCCCAAAGCCGAGCCACAAACCCAAACCCAGCCGCCAAACTGCGCCGCCCAGTCATCATAATAAAAATGTGCCTTAATCAGCCGATTTGCTTGCATTCCCTGTTAGGTGGTCGGCCACTTAGAGAGACAGTTAGCGACGTCGACGTCGACGAGGACGGCGACTGCTACGGCAAACGGCAACGGCGACGTCGTTTATTTGTTTAGCTCTCAGCTGATTTTTGGGGGGAGAGGCAGCTAGATAAATAAAAAATGAAATTAATAAAGAAAAAGAGAGCCAGCGCAGCGATAAGGTTCGCCGCATGTGACGACGATCTCAAAGCTGTGCTCCAGTTTTCGTTTGTTTGGCGCACGCGGCGTATGCGCGATATTCCTAATTATTGCAGTTGCAGGTGCCTTCAGGGCTCTCTGTTTCAAATTCTTAAAAAAATATTAAAAGTGCAATTGTGAAAGATACTTTTGATTGTTTTATCTACCTCTTTTTAACCTTTTTCTCTCTTGACTCTGATAAGACCACTAAAGAGAGTGAAAACTTTATAAACACTCTCTATCGAGAAACCTCCACAATGACGATATTTATGGACTCTTATCGGGCCGAGATTGAAGTAAGTGTCATTTGCAATTCAATTATTGGCTGTTTGAGATTAGACGGCAAAGATAAGGCCATAGGCTGTTAAAAAACTCTAAAAATAACAGCCTCTAAATAACATCGAACATCGTTGATTTGGCATATTTTATTGTTTTTTGAGTGGTTTGCAAATTTTTCAAATACAAATCGAAGTGTATGCGATTAAGTGATTTTTAATTGGGTCGTGTGCTGTAAGAAATTCCTACAATGTTTAAATAATGCAAATATTACGGTTTCATTTTAAAGCAAAAACAAATTAAGCCATTTAGATTAAATAAATTAGAATTCCTAGTATTTTTGGAAAAAACGTGCCAATGAAATACGATAACAAGGGTGTTGACTTTTGGGTTTTTCTAAAATAAAACCCAATAATATACATTAGCGTTTTACATGTTATCTGCAAACAAATAATATTGGAACATAAAGAAGTAGAATTTATTTGCAAAAATAAAAAACATTTAGAATCATGGCAATTCAATAACTTGTGTGTCCAAATCAAAATCGAAATTTGTGAGCAACCTAAACTCGTTGAGTAAGCGAATGTAAAATGATTGAGGAGCTAAAAGTCATTGCTTGCTTAATTACGTTATTATCGATTAGAGGGAAACGTCACCCGGCCTGAGGACCAGGGGCGAGTATTCAAATTCAAATTCAGAGTTCGACACTCGCCCTGAAATTGTACTTTAAACAGCCGAATTTAAAGAAAAAATCGCTGTATGCCATTATTAATGCAAATGCCCAACCTGACTGGCAACATCGAACAAATACTGTATGTGGGTACTGAAAACAGCCCAAAACTCAAAAGCACTTCTCGTCGGATGCAATGTAGAATGAATCAGCTAAATTATTTAAATTTGGGGCTCACAAATGGCATTTTGGGAACTCACACTTACGCATCTTTGGCCAGCATTTGGAGTATTTGCAGCTGTGCACTTGACGAGCCTATGAATGCGGCAGCAGCAACAAAAAGTGTTGCATTTCAGCAACATGCAACTTGAAACGAGTCCGAATAGCGCTGGCCTCTGCGTTGGGTGAGAGGAAAAAAACCGCCTCCAAGAGCAACAACTACCACATATGTACCCTCGGGCGGCAGAAATAAAGGCAACAAATGTCTTGCACCAATTACTTGGGGATTTTGGGCCAACGACAAGCGGGGGACTACAGCCAACAAAACAACAACAAAGCTGATTCGATTGCCAAATTAACGCGATTTTATTTCAGGTTGGAAAAGTCGCTGCAGCAACTTATTCTCAAAACCAAGTAAACAAACATGGATGCACTGTAAAAAATAAAAAATCACTGTAAACAGAACAGGAAACTTCTACATAAATACCTTATTTGAGAAGCAGAATTTTAAAGTTTGTATCTAAAAGATACACTCTTTAAAAAAATGAAAAATATCAAATATATTTATATATATTTATGTTTAGTACATTTTTTCTCAGTTATCAAATATGATATATATGCATTCATATACTATATCGTCTGTGTGGCAAGTGCAGTAAATGTTGTTTGCTGCTGCTTCTCTAAATCGCTGTTGAAATCGCTCCGAGTTGCCTGCTGCGCGCGTTTTTGATCGCGTGCAAGTCGCGCGCAGTTTGAAAGTAAACTTCAGAGCCGCTGCATTTTCAACTTGACCCACAACACTGCCTGGGAACGCTTAATGCCGAATCGATCATCGGACTGGAATCAGTGCTTTATGTTCGGTTTTATTGTTTTTTTATTTTCTGGGGATCTGGTTGGGTGTTTTCTTAGCGGCTTTCCATTTGCCGATGATTTGTTTACGCATTTAACAAATTGTACAGGTGTATGCGTGTTGGTGTTGCATCATCTCCGCCGTCATATTAGACAAGATGCCGCTGGAGTAAAAGTCGCAAGCTGAACCTGAATCTCGGCTTCACAAGCCAGTTGCAGATACAGATACATGAGCTCGGGCTCTCTCTCTCTCTTTGTCCGGCACTGCTGCGCTCAACTTGACCTATAAATTGATTTTAATGTTGCGCAGGTTCGTGTATCTGTATCTTTGTATCTGTATCTGTATCTTTGTATATGGATTTTTGATTTTTCTTCGGCTTGTCTATTGAAAGCAATTTTTTGTCTTTAATGATCGAAAATCATTAAGTGCGACACGAGTTTGGCTTCAGCGTCGATTCAACGCCGATCCAATACAATCCGATTCGATTCGATTCGATCATATGGGTGCAAACCAGTTTGGCCCTTTAAACTTTTGGTGCTTTTTCTTTTGCTTTTTCTCACTCGTTGCTGCTGGGAAAGTAAAAGTGTTGAGCTGAACAATTATGCGGCGGGCTGGCTGGGCGACTCTACAAACGGGAAACCATAATTTTTTTCTTATTTCAGCATCAGTTTTGTAGCCTGTGCAAATTGCTCAGTGCCGCCCCGGCAGATGAGACTTATATAAACGTCATTAAAATAAATCAAAATTAAATTAAAAATCAACTGAGAAGAAAGAGACTTAGACGTCTGGAGCTGGAGCTGAAGCTGTCACCTGTCCCACCTCACCTTCTCCCTCTTCAATTGCAAAAATCCAAAATAAAATGTAAAAAAAAGAAATCCAAAATCCC